TCATACTTTATCATTCCAATATCATTCACGAAATATTCCTCCTTGGAATTCTCTTTTACATCCATATTACTCAATTCATATCACTCTTCAACATCATCTTACTTATTCATCAATACAATCAAACCGAACAAATAGAAACATATCTAATCTTAAACCAAAACTGAACAATAACTTCCACCCTAGAGATAAGACCTAACGATCTGAATATTTTTTAGACTAACACAACCGAACACTTAGTGTAAGAACGAGCGGTCTTCCACTTATACACAGAACAGAACCGAACGATCCATGTTAGATAAGACTCATTATAAGCCGAACACTCATGATAATATTTGGACGTTTACTTGTGACTCAACAATTACTACAGAACAGTATTTTACTAGACAAAACTCCTAAGAATGTACCAAATACTAAAGAATACATATAATTTAGACTTAACCGAAAATCATAATAACTTTTGATGGAACCTGTGAACTTAAACCGAACCCTACAAGCTTTAACCGAACACTCTGGAGTTTAACCGAACACTCTTAATACCTAATGCAAGTATTTTATGGAATATTATAAGAACGAGCACTACTGAGACCGAGCACCTGGTCTATGATCGAGCACTACTGAGACCAAATATTGTTTGACGCCGAATACCAGTAGCACACTGAATACTATGAAGAAACCGAGAAATAGTACGATACCGAGCACTAATAATACTTACCTTTAGTCTAAGACCGAACACTGAAGAGACCGAGTGCTAGTCTCAAACCTAGTACTGTAGAGACCGAACACTCTAGCTAATAGAAATATATATATATATATATATATATTTATATAAAGCCGACCACGGAAACAACCTAACTTATTCACATACTGAAAACGACTATAATGTTGATTACTTAACTTATTTGAATACCCTGACTAGGCTGATAACTAAGTAGAAATAGAAAACTAAACATAAACTAAGTATTTAGTGTGCCAACCTACCAATATAAGATCGAACGGTCATTAACTTAAATTCTCTTTAGAAGGAAAATCCAGTTAAGACCGAACACACCAAAGGAAAACCAAACAGTCACAAATGACTCTCGGTTACAGTTTTCAGAATTCTACAGATTATTGCAAAATCACAATCAAACTATATTCCTACCCATTTTATGCCTTTTCATCAATCATCAGTACTTCCAAACAAACATGCAATATTTCAAAATCAACCAAATCATCAAACATAACATCATTCCAGAAAGTAAACAATCATAAAACAAGAATCACAATTAAATTAGAAGCTTCCCTTACCTCTAAACGTAGCCGAACGCTCACAGATGCAGTATATGGCTCGCCACAACCAGGAATCTTAGAATTCTAAGGTCACGATTTATGAAACTAAACCAAACAAAAGACCAGAAATGCTTAGAATAAGATGATAAACTCATGCAACCAGAATCTGGGTTTGCATGTGACAGAAAACGAACGGTTTAAGAAGAGAAGTACTCACCAGCTTAAACCACAACTTGATCGGTGCAAAGTGTAGCTCTTGGCACCAGGAATACTCAAACGTTGCCTAAATGATGATCGGAAGAAGAAAAGGATGAGAATTCTTAGAGAGAAGATGGAGGAATCTAGAGAGAAGGAGGAGAAAATGGAGTTCAGCAGTTTGGAGAAGAAGGGTGCATGCAGAAAGTGGGACCGAATTTCAAAATTTCCACTTATATACCTCCTGCACAAACCGGTCGGTCCACTCTCCTGCAGCCACCTGTCTTCCACTTTCTAAAATTTTGAACTCATTCATTGACACATGGCTTCCACTAAATTGGGGTTTTTTTTAAGGGTTTTGACAAGGTATGTTTAGGATAATATTATTAAATACGAAAGTAATTAAAACTTATTTATATTTGAAGATATTTATTCTTCTAATTCTAATTTTAATTGGGTTAAATATGTTTTTAGTCCTTAAACTATCAAGCGAATTTGTTTTTAATCTCTCTTTCAAAGTAAGGTACACTTTGATCCTTCTCCTTAAAGAAACTATAATTTTTAGTCCTTCAAAACCAATGGTGTTAAAAATCTGCTGAGGTGGCTAACGGTGGTACCACGTCATTTTCTTTTTTCCTGACAGGAATCAACTTTTCCCAACTTTTTTCCCTTCCTCTCCCTCCCTCTCCCTCAATCTTCTCCTTAACATCCTTCATGTTCCGTAAATGGAAGAAAAAACTGGTTTAATATAGCACGCAAGCAACCAACATCTTGCCATTAGGAAACAATTAAATAAAAAATTGAACTTGAAATTCAGAGAAATAAACTAATGATTGCGTATTAATTTAAACAAATCGGCAAGATCTATGATCAAGAACATACCCAGGGCTTGAGGGGTAAACCCATGTGGATGTTGAAGCTGCAGATCAAAGATGTAGGGACAACAACAAACAGAGAAGAATTAGAAGAAAAGGAATTTTGAAGAATAGGGGAACAATCAGCCCTTGCACCACATGCATAATCCATAGCTTTCTAAAGAGCTTGATTACCCACACCATCTTTACATACACAGTAAAGAGCACCTGTTCATGACCAAAAACAAATTGTAAAAATTGTAAACAGAAGAACAGTTAGTCCATTAAAAATCCTATCTTTCCTTAAAAGCTCCAGTCTTCAGTAAAACAGAATAAAAATAGAAAAGTTCCTGAACAAAATCCATCTCAAAATCTCAAGCTGTATCACAAAACCAAAACAAAAAAAAGCTTTCAGGAACTAAGCATTATCCATTTCCCCGTCGCAGCCAGTGAGCCAAAGATGCACAGGAGAAGCGCACCTTCCATTCACAGCATAACTATACATAACCTGCAAATTCTCAATGATTCGTTAAGAATCAATAATCGCACCATTAACTTTCTCTCTTGTTCTCTTTCTCTAGTGACCTCTTCTCCATTCTCTCCTTACGGAGGGTTCTTCGTGACGGCGTGGAGGAAGGCGGTGCTTGAGGCAAGGCCGGTGATGGCGGTGAAAAGGTTGAACGATGTGATGATTTCTGGGAAGGAGTTTAAGGAGAAGATTGAGGAAGAGGGAGGGAGAGGAAGGGAAAAAAGCTGAGAAAAGTTGATTCGTGTCAAAAAAAAAGAAAATGACGTGGTATCACCATTAGCCACCTCAACGGATTTTTAACGTCGTTGGTTTTCAAGGACAAAAAATTATAGTTTCTTTAAGGAGAAGATCAAAGTGTACCTTACTTTGAAAGAGGGACTAAACAAATTCGCTTGATAGTTTAAAGACTAAAAACATATTTAACCCATTCTAATTCAATCCGAATGGAATACCTTTGTTGTGAATAGTTAATAAAATAAATTAAAAAATAAATAGTTATTATTGGTACGATTAAAGTTAAACTGAAAAATAGTTGTAGGTCAAGTTTTTGGTCTAATTCATTTGCTAGCAATGACTTAGGTCGGGTTAGATATATAGACTCAGCTAACTCCGTTTTATATAATAATAATATTCAATTTGTGTGTATATATATATATATATATATATATATATATATATATATATGATTTATGTAAAATTTAAATTCAATAATATTATTTAAATTATTTTATTTTACTTTTTTATTTAAATAATTACAAGTTTCTTTTAATTTTTAAAATGAGTCACCACACAATATAATTACTGTCTACTTAAAAAGGAACCCAACGGGCTGAAACAAATTTTTTGAATAGCTTCTTGGGTTGGATCCGGCCTGAAGTTTGATAGCTCTCGTTACTACTCAGTATATAATTTCATTAAAATGGGAGTTGCAGAAAATAATTAAAGATGCAGAAAGTAATTGCCCAAAGAGAAAACGCCAAAGCCCAACCCGTTATGCTCTTCGATATTTTAGTATCTATATTAAACCAAGAAGTATCTTACATCCTCGATTAAAATATCACTAAACATTATAAATAGAATTATTACATATATTTATATTAGCTTTTAAAAAAATATTGGAGAAAAATTCAGAAAATTAAAATAGAATAATATTCTTCATAAAATAAGTTTATATACAAAATGAAATAAAAATAATATAATTTAAAAATGTATATAATACAGCTCTAGAAAACTAATTTATTTATTTTTATCTTTGGATAATTTTATCCCAATAAACCTTACTTACGCGTTTCACTCTAAAGCTTAAGTGTAGCACAAAAGAAATAGTGAAAGTTTATTAAATTTTCGGATTTTGTTTAATTCATTATAATTATTCTTGTGCATACAAGTATGAATGTATATTTAACACGTGTGTGGTCGTTGGTGTGTACATAAATAGATGCAGATACGGGGATTAAAATGTTTATAAAATTCATTCTATATTAGTCAGTTTTGAATAATTATTGACATAAAATTGAATTAAAAATGTTATTTTTTCCAGAATATTTATGTTGTTAAAAAAAAAAGGTTGTGAGTCAAAGGGTGATGAAAGATGGTCCATATATAGAAAAGTGAAATTTATTACGTGACAGGTGTCGATTCAGCTAAGCGAGTAGCCGTGTGTGCCTTTGTGTTCCAACAGCAACCTTAAAGTGTGACTTAATTTGTTGAAAAATTCTGATCAGTATTCAGTTTGTGGTTTCCAATCTTTTTAGCTGTCATTGATTTCAGCAATCCAAAAAGACTCCTTTTTTCTTCTTCATTCAACAGCTTCTTCTCCTTCTGGTATATTCTCATTCATTTCATTCCTTCTTATGCTCATCTTGTCTTCTCTGTGCTTTCACTTCATTTTGCTGGGTTTCTCAACTATTTTATGGAATTCTATACTTCTACGCATAAATTGTTTTTATTTTCTCCATGAATCTTCTGAACTCCGTTACCCTTAACCCCATCTAATATTTATTAACTTCTTCTGATCATTGAAACTATCTGGGTTGGGTTGGGTTGGGTTGATACCTTTCCTTTTATTCAATCCTTAACTTTTGGGGTTGGATCATGGTTTCTTTTTGGGTGTTCCTTTATTTTTCATATACGTCTGAATGTAGACCTCATATGTGTATCGATTTTTTTTCTTGTGTGAATAATACATCATTGCTTAAAACTGATATAAGACTAACAATCAACGCTACCTGTCTGTCGATTTTCTTGTATTTGGAATGATAGGAATACGAATTTGGATTTTGCTGAGTTTTTTTCACTGTTCTCTGCTGTACCATAAAATACACTGATATATAATGATTTTGATGTTTTAAAATATATTAAAAGTCTTTTTAATATATCAAAGTAGTGTATTTTGACAACTGGGATACCACAAAACAGCCTTAGCAGAGAAAATGAATTCTAGGAATACATACTTAAATATGTAGCTTTGAAATTTCTGTGTTTTGAATCGATTATTTATTATGTATGACATGTGGCATTAGTTCTTCTCTGGATGCTTCTTGCACAGGCCGGCTAATTTCTAAATAATTAGTGACTAGAAAAATATGTTTTATCCTTTTCTTGACCCTGTCTCACATTCTCCCTTATTGATTGCTGGCCTTTCACATGATTTTGTATTTCGTAAGCTTTAATTATAGAATTTTAATTATGATTGCAGATGTTGCTTACTGACAACTTGGATACCAATGTTTTGCAGACTTCAGTGTTCTGAAAGATTTCTGGTGTTGGCGCATACATATTTCACCTCTAGCACATCCTGCTTCTTCCTAATTCCTTAGGTGATAAGAAAATGCAATTGTATCATCATCCATTTGATTTGGACAGCCAGAAGGTGAGACTTGCGTTGGAAGAGAAAAGCATTGATTACACATCACACCATGTCAATCCTGTAACTGGCAAGAACTTGGATTCTTCATTCTTCAAGATGAATCCTGGTGGAAGACTCCCAGTTTTCCAAAATGGCTCTCACATTCTTTACAAGACTATTGATATAATCCAGTATGCCCTCTTCACAACTTATTCTGTCATCCTCCTCTTAATGTTATTTCTTCCTTTTGTAAACATTATATAAAATGTGGATTTTAAGTTTAATTCAACATTGCAAAATAGGCTTAGTATGGCAAGTTTCTATCCACTTTGGTCATATTTAAACCCTCTGCATGCTGAGAACTGGATTTTTTGAGTGTGGGAATAGAAAATTCACTAAAAGTTTAATAAAGCTTACTAGGATAGATACCGATAAAAACTGTTATACTATCTTATGAAGTAGTTCTAATACCATCTTAAACCGTAGGAAAAGAGAAACATTAAGCTGAAATTATGTTTCTCAGACAGTACAAATGTCTTATTTATATTGAAAAAAATAAATCAATACAATGTATAAAATTTGGTATCTTTTGACAACAAAGATATAAATAGAAAAGTTCTTAATAATATATGTGTTCCTGATTATATAGGGTTAGCTCTTATTTCTTTGATTCTATTCTACTTTGAAGATTTATGCAGCATTAGAAGTTATCCCCACAGAAATATATTTAGCTGCCAGAGCTTCTTTCGAAATCTTTATCAAGGAATGGATTATCTCATGTTGAGTTTCCACAAGAACATAATTTCAAATGAAAAATGTCTCTTCATAGAAATTAAGTAGGTAGGACTATATTAAAATTTGTGAAATTCACAGAGAGAAACACAATTTTTACATGACACGGCCATGTGGAAATTCTGCACGAGAGAATCCGTTATCGATTTATCACTTTCCAAGTCAATTCCCTTAGAGCAACAATTGCAGCATTCTATATGCTACTGTGGATAAAGGAGTGGTTTTTACAGTTGCTTGATAAAGCTTAATCCCTTAACCTAAATGTTGAAGTTGAATTACTTTCAAATGCTTTTATGTTAACTTTATGAGTGGACATTTTATAGTGGTATTGGATTTTCAGGTACATAGAAAGAATTGCCGTGTTCTCCTCTGGGTCTGAAAATATCAGTAGCAGTAACAAGGAAGTGATTGAATGGATGCAGAAGGTACAAGAGTGGAATCCAAAGTATTTTTCCCTTTCCCATGTACCAGAGAAATACAGAATATATGTTTCTAAGTTCTTAAGAAGAGTGGTGATTGCTCGAATGTCTGAGTCACCAGAACTAGCAGGTGCTTACCATAAGAAGTTAAAAGAAGCATATCAGACTGAAGAGAGAGTGAAAGATTCAGATGTGTTTATAAGGAGCAAGGAGCATTTGATTAGGCTGCTTGATGAAGCAGAGAAGCAGCTGAGTGAAACACCTTATTTAGCAGGTCAAGAGTTTACTATGGCTGATGTGATGCTCGTTCCGGTATTGTCTCGTTTAGTGCTCTTGGATTTAGAGAAAGAGTACATAACTGGGAGGCCAAACATTGCTGAGTATTGGGTTTTGGTTCAGCAGAGGCCTAGTTATAGGAAAGTGATTGGTAGGTATTTTGATGGTTGGAAAAAGCACAAGACATTGTTAAAAACTTGGTGCTTTGTTCGCGTTAGAAGTTTGCTGAAGAGATATTGATGAAGTGTATGTTAGTTGCCCAAAGAAAACTGCATAAGTGAATATAAGAAAGAGCTTTTGTGTGTTGTAGATGAGTTGTTGTTATCATAAACATTGTTTGTATTTTCCCTTTTTGGTGACAAGAATAATTTTTTTTAAGAGAAAAGGGGGATTCATTTTTCTTTCTCCCTTAGCAAATGGTGATGCTGAGTACTGAGCTTGGATTTGAGTACTGAGCTTGGATTTGTGTTAGTTCAATCAATTAGCAATTTATGTGCAATGTTGTACCCTGATATGGGAAGAATTCCTTCATATGAGAATCGTTACTTGTTTTGTGTACACTTATTTAGTATTTGTAAATGCAAAAGCAACGTACTCTCATTCCTCTAGTGTTCTACATTTTCTTTCTGTTTTGTTGTATGACCATCAAAAATCAAAAGGAGTTTAAGTTTACGACCAAATCCTCACTGCTTGAAAATGTATATTAGATATAATAAAAATTTAAAATATGTTGAAAAGGTAAATGAAAAAGAAGTATACTGTCATCTAACCCGAAATCCAGATTCGTACGCTTTAAAATGAACTTTTAAGATAATTATGTTCAAAAAAACTATAAACTTTTCTTATTGGTATATTAAAATCAGTTCAATAATCAATATATTTATATAAAAATCGACTCAAGTTAGAATACGAGTAGAAAATTCGTTTACTTTAAAAAAATACTTTATGTTTAGCTAAAAACAACTTTTAAAATAAATAAAAATACATTTAATAAGAATAAGGAATATAGGTAAATATATTTATTATTGTTAACATACACACTATTGTACTTTTTTGTTAAAACATAATCATAGAAGCACAAAACAATTTATTTTCATAATGTTTATCTGCTTTAAATGTTAAAAACGTACTAAATATTCCACTTTGTAAATTTTAAAATGGTAATATCATATTTATTTTATTAATTTCAAAATATTCAGAATCTTACCATAATATTGAAAAAAAAAAAAGTAATGTTAAGCAACTATAAAACTTCAACATTCTACCTAAAAGAAGAAAAAAAGGGAAATGGAAACTAGAACAAAACACTCATACAAACATAGAAAGGAACAACCTAGAACCCCAAACGTTTAATGAAACCTGAATTTCTAAACTCTGACCGGTTTTAGAGATATAAGCTAACAATCGAAGGCAGGCTATTAAATAATAAAAAATAATAGCTCGTTTGACATCTTCACCTACATTGGTGAAGGCATCAATATCAACAATTTTTACAAGAACAAAATAACTGCAAAATAAAGTTGCAAACCATTAACCATTTCGAATTTAGGAGGAAATCTCTATAAAAAAACTGAAACGTTTCCTCCTTCTCAAGACATTTATAGGTGTAACTTCGAAAGTTTTGAACCATATAAAACACTTGTATCCGAAAAAACCAAATAACCAACCTTAAAAATAATACAAAATAAATGAGACGCAAAGAAAATAAATGATCTTTGGGATTCAACTAATAAATCAGACAGGAATAAGATAGCAAGGGAAGTAATAATTACTTTTACTTATCAGAGAAACAGTTGAACAATAGTTTTATAAGTCATCAATAGGTTTTCCATTTTGAGAGAGAATTAGAAGTCAAGATAAACACTTACCCGTCTTGAAGGTTTGAGCAGGATCAGTATTGGGAACAGGAGTTCCCCATGTAGGGTAAAAAGTGAAGAGGAATGCTGAAATTGAATGATATTTTCATTGAATAATAGATTCGGGAACGAATGAATTGACAGTACATTAATGTATAAGGAAGAAAAAAGAAAACAAAAATAATTTCTTTTTTTCCTGTGAACAATATTGCTGCTGTGCATGCTAATAAATATTATTGCCACCTTTCTCCTCTCTACAGATTGCATCCTCCGCATCACAAGTATCTTCCGACTCTTTTGGTACATCTACATCTATACTGCACATATCACCATTAGAGTTGTTCTCATTACATTTCCATGCATTCCTCCGGAACCATGGTCGATGTATTTTTGAATTATTCCATTTCTGCTGTCTATAGTACTTCGTTACCAAATCATGGGAGTCACCCTTCATTCGTTTGGCTTCGTTGTCCTCAAACAGAAGGTTTGACTCTTCAGGGTTAGCACTAGTTGTGCTGGGAATCATATCATCTGCGCAACAAGTGACCATACTACTGTTATCGCCCTCCTTGACTTCAGCAGAGTGATCTCTTGTCATAGCTTCAGCAGGCTGATCGATTATCATAGCACTATAATTATTAGAAGGTTGAGAGTCTTTATTGTCTCGAGGATATGGGGGTAGTGGAGGAAATGGAACGAAAGGTATGCCAGGTGCAGTGACCCAGCGCTCTGGAAATTCAGTATGAGGTGTTCCATATTGCTGGGCAACAGACCATGGCATTCCATAAGCCACAGGCAAGCGAGAATTAAATTTCCTTTTTGAATGACCAACTACTAAATCAGAGGGACATCCAGAACGGCTTGCATTTTGCAATACAAGATTGCCAGAGTTTAGGGAAGAAGCATTTATTGGACCCATTGGACACGAAAACCCTGGTGGAACATCCTCATGAATGTTCTGGCTTTCACCAACGGAGCTCATAACGGCATCAGAAAGTGAGTTTGACTTCGCTGGTTGATCCCATCGGCTCTTGCGCTTCCGTTTTTTAGGTCCTTTGATTTCAACCCCATCTACAGAGTGGGCAGGACAGCTTTCCTGGGTATCAGCATCTACTGGAGTTGTCACGTGCATAGACTGCTGACTACAATCCATTGCTTCTGCAGCCCTTAAATCCTGTTCATGTCTATGAGAGTGTGATGCTGAAAATCTGTTACCATTGAAAGTTCTATGAGATTCCATTCTATTATCATCCCTGTCCAAATAGCCATGTTTTCTGTTGGGTCTGGGAAACCATCTGTCTCGGAAGCTTCGAGCAATTTGATGGACCTACACGTGCAAACAAAACAACAAAAATATTCAAAGATTCTATTATTTGTCCCCAAAACAGATATATACAAATAGTTGAAAAAATCATCTAAAACATTTCTTGGCACTTGTGTGCGCTTCAGAAATGAACAAGTTAGCATAACAGATACCTGTTTGTCATCATGCTCTGTCAGAGAAAGCATTGACTCCCTAAAGCTGAACGTAAAAACAAATTATTAGTGCAAATTTTTTGAAGAAAAAAATACATCTTTTCTAGTCAAAATAAAAGTGCAAATGATTTGAAGATTCGCAGCAATAAAATAATTGATTCCACATTAGGGTTCAAAACAAAAACTACAGAAGGGCAGAAAATTTCGTGTTGTTTACATCAATAGGCAAGTGACAATGTTATGAACTGGTTTAAATAGCAAAACATCTAGGCACATGAGACGTGAGTACCAAGTATTACAAAAGCTTAAGTTCTAATGGGAAGAATATTTGGATAAGAGGACTTAAGTGGGAAGAAGAAGAATAGAAAAAGGGAAAAATAAATATAAGGTGTTGTTGGAGACGCAATGGACAGGCCAAGGAACAAAGAGACAGGAACCACTGTCAATATGAGAGCTTCAATGATGTCAGAGCTATGGAATTTTGGCCAAGTCAGATATCACAAATAGCTGCCGTCAAAGCCCAGGTTACATACTGTCTACACATCTCTCCACCACCACTGGAGCCACAGGATGCCAGCTTCCGTGTGGTTATCACATCGCTACCAGTGAGCAACCATTCCATAATGAACATTCTTCCAATTGGGCTTCATGAAAGATAACGCAGATAGCCCAAAATCATAAAGGGGGCAGAATTGACACCATATTGACGGAAGATATATTCTGCATACTTGACTAGAAGTGCAAAGTTGATTCTACTCAAAAATTCATTGGGATATTAGCTACAAAAATCAAAATTTCCTTCCAATTACGAGACAAGGCAGTACTTAATATACAAAGTTGATGAAAGAGGAATTATGATCACGGACCAAAAAGTTCATTTTCAGGGCCGCAAAGCCACAAAGCAATACAAGCGAAATTGGTCAACATGCTTATTAGATATGAATTGAGGAAGAAGAAAAGAAGGGTACACTAAGAAAAGTTGTCATTAGAAAATTGAGCATCAGATCTTTCTTAAGGGGCAATCCTTGGAGGAGAAATTTCTCTTCTCCTACAGTTCATTCTTATTTGATGAAAGGATCACTGACAAAAAGATCACTGGAGGATGGCACCACTCTAGTGCCATGTTGAGAAATGAGAAACCAAGAAAGAATATAATAAATTAAGTATCTCGGCTACAAACAAGAGTATTCTTATTTATAATAAAGCAGTGATACAATAATAAGACACCACCCATATCTAATAATGAGAAATATTTCATAAGATATTTTGCTATGAAATCATGTCACATCTCTCTATTTAAAGCAATCAAATCATATTTCTAACAATATTCAGTAAAAATTATTTTCTTTCTTCTGATTGTTAGTTTCTATTACATTCTCTAATACCTCAAGTACACCAAGAATATCAATACTTATCAATTACTACTAAAAACGTCATGTCATACTAGTAAAATGTAGTAAAAAAAATTGTAAGAGATTTTACATCTCCTAATTATTTAAGGTAAGTAAAAACCAAAGGGTCGAATGATTCAATGCCCTCCCAAAAAATATAGAATAGGAAAAGGGTGATGACTTGAAGAAAACATATTTCATGCTTAAAACAACTTTGACATAAAAATGTTATTTTGTATCTTATGTCAATCAAATTCATACTTGCCAAACAAAAATAGGTGATGAAGAAACATAAATGAAAACTGATACTTCAGCGCTACAATAAAACAAAAGTAATCAAGCCCCATGAAATTTCGGGGAGGTTATATTTTAAAATTTTCTAACCTCTCCATCCCATGACACGGAGGACCACCATTAATCTGTTCAGGTGTCAAAATCTTGCTTGCTGCTAGGTACTCTAAGACCTGCAAAAAATAGAGGTGATCGAGCAATATATTATCTTAATACTAATACTTAGAGAATGAAGAAAGATGAACTGCATAGAATGGTCAAATTTATTAAATACTATAGTCAAATTTATGCACCTAAGCAACAATTACCAGATTAAACATTCCAGATAATGAAGAGGAATAAAATATATTATGAGCTTTATGAGTTCACAACATTTCCATTGGAGAATTGCATAATAGATTTTTACGTTTTAGGTAAATAGAAGAAATAGCATCAGAACAATCATATAAAATGGAGAATTCAACACAAAAATGAAGTCCCTGAGCAAGAAGTTTCAAGAGGAATTCAATTTTTAGGAGGGTTTAAAATACCACAATTCAAAATAACTTTAAGAGTATTTAATAAAAAAAAATTTAAAAGATCGAAATTTTTCACGG